ACCGTAATTCAAGCTAAAATCCTACTCATCTCCAAGGAGGATAGTAAACTAAGCCACTACGGCTAGATTAGTAATAAAATATTTCTGCAAAGATTATATCATATTAAACTTTTCTGGGGGTTTCTTTGACTGTGTGTTCCTCTTGTGCTTAAATTATGTTATTTACTATGGATGCAACTTAAATAAATCTAAAGAATATAACATTTAAAGCCAATCTAGAAAGAGTTTTTATATTCAGCCATTAATTTTAGCTTATGTGGTCAGTTTATATACTGCTACTATCATCCTTATAAAAGTCACTTAATTTTGAGAACTAAATATGTTAAGTACACCATTGCTCCGTCAGTTTTACAGAGTTAGTAATTTTGTAAAGAATTTTATAAGTGTTTGTAACTAAGAATTATATAGCGTCAATACAATGATTAAGCGAGGAGTTATGTGTCAATACTTCTCATTTTTATTACATTTTGATTGCGCCGTAGGGTTTTGCATCGTAAGGTTATTTAACGAGATTCCTTCTTTTGAGGAATCTTTTTACATAAGCTCAATGCTATCTCTTCTGTTGTCCGAAATACGACTCAGAGTTTAGATATTGACTCTATTTCAATAACTCTTACTTTATCACTAATTAGTAGTAGATCACGCATATATACTACCAATAATCATTTTCCTATAGAAAGCAGAATTATGTAGTTGAATTTTTTTTACTACCAAATTGATAATAAAACCCTTCATATATTTATTCGCTTCAATAAAGCAGCACGTGTTTAAACTAATTCTGCCAATTATTTCACCCCACGACCATTGTCAAAATTGTAAATTAATTTTTTAAATATTTTCCATTAATTCTGACATTCTAGGCCGATATACTTCAGAAAGAGATTCATATTTCAGAAGTTTCCGTGTGGTCCTCATAAAATTAAATACACATTCAGACAGTTAATAGAACTTGTTTAGTTTTTCGGCTATGTATTTCCTCTTATTATTCATCCTATTTTGCCATTATATTCTCTTTTAGAAGGCCAGTCTCGCATCCCGGTTTCCCTTCCTTCAGGAGGAAACACCGTCTCCTCCTCCACCTATACCGTCGCTAATTCAACTCCCACAAAAGTTTCCGCCTCTGCCACAACTACCATTACCGCCACAACCCCTTCAATCTTAATCCCAACGCCTAACAACACATGTGTTCCACCTATCCTTCCCTCTAGATCCACCCTCACTTCCCAAGATGTTGTTTCGGTACCCCTGACAAAAGATTCAGCAATTATTTCCTTCGATAGCAGAGGCATGCTCAGCAAGCGTTCCGGATCTCCACCTCCATCCAATCAGTTGCTTGGACGAGAGGCAAAGGATCTTGGTGTCGCCAAGCCGTTAAGTTTATCCGAGCCAGTCAATGATATACCTTCACGGACTTTGCAGATTGACGTGGATATGAACAAAGTTGCCCATGCACTTAACAGTCTGGCTACAGTTGCTAATCAGTCCACCAAAGCTGGGAATAATGCAGTCTCCCTGCCATCAGCTCCTCCACAATTTGGAGTCTTTTCAGTCAGAATAGAAGAATTGTCTGAGGTAATTTTTTTTTCTAAAATTGAGAATTAGAGATAAAATGATTCTTTTTTTAAATAAATTTATTTCGCCAAGTTTACTTTACATTGAGAGCACAGATAATGCAAGCCACTAGCCATTATTCTGAAATAACATTCCTAGACTCTCTACTCTATATGGATATTATGCCATCTTTTTTTAAATATGATGATTTGTCTTTGCAAAATCACCGCAGACCACAATCTAACTAAATTTATTTATCTATTTGCTAAAACTTTATTATTTGCTTTTCTAAATACCTTTTTACCTCAAGCTTAGCTCAGGTTTTAGATCAGTTTTTATATTTTATAATTTCCTCAGTGCTTTTTCCATATTCAAATAAGTGATATATAATAGCTATCTTGCAATAATTTCTCCTCTCTGTTAGGCCTTCGTGAAGCCAATAGATAAGCATATTTCTTAATCTTAATACGCCTTAAGCTCGTCTCTATCAGCACTTAAATTTGCATCTTTATCATCCCCATCTCATTCTATAATATTATTATGTTGAGCAAAATTAAGAGTTTGTTTTCTTGATACCACACTTCTTTTTTGGTAATTCTCAGTTGTAAACAGATAGTTGAAACTTAATTCAGATCTTAGAGGTTACCTTCTAAGAATAGAATCATCAATGACTACTTGATGTGCAGGAGAGATTTGATTTTGTTTCAGCCTCACCGGTTTATATTCTTCATAGCTTGAGCTCAGCC